TATATATATATGTATATATATGTGCACGTATATATATATATATATATGTATATATATATATATGTAATACATATATTTGAAATTACCCTAGAACCTTTCTAAGTGTCCTAGTTAATGATTACATCCACTTGGACAAAATTAACTCAATTTTCCCGCGTTGAATCCATTTATCCTTTAAACATTAATTAATAAGAGACTGAAATATAAGACCGTTTGAAAAAAGATGCTAAAATTTATTTTAATTCCTGATTTCTAATTTCCATCTGATTCTCTCCAGTATAATTGTTGTAAATCATACATTCATTCCAATACTTAACTTGAATGCTTAATTATCTTCTTCGAGATAAAAGAGGATAATCGATGTTTCTTCCATCCAGAAAATAATTGAAATAACTATATTAAAACAATCTTCATCACTCGATATATTCCATAGCATTGTTCCAACCGATCACAAACAATAATTGCCTCATAAATGTTTAAAAAAATCTAATAGCTCATTTCCTCTTACAACAACAAACAATATTCTGTCGGATATCCTAGCACAAATGTTGTCAAGCAACGGTTATACTAAGCGGGATGAAAGAATTATCCAACTTCTTATTCTCAATCCAAACTTTCCCTTAACAAAAAATAAGTAATCCAGACTTCAAGTACAAAGGAAAGATCTAGAACTGAAAATTGCATATGCAAGATATTTTTCCAAGATATCTCCAAGACATTTCTACTCTTCTTAAACTAGACCAGCACATAGTATAAATAAACTTTTCGATATTATTATAGACTAAATCTATTCGGAAAGAATTCAAACTGTGCAACAGAGTGAAATTTAGAATAAAACGGATAAACTGAATAGTTAATTCCAATAAGTGCGTGTTTGGGTGCATTTACGCTTGTGCACGCATATTTGGTTATCAACTCTGAGAAAGAGAAAAAAAGAACCATGCTAGTGGCAATGAATAAATTGAAAATGCAGGGGAAATCTAATTTAAACAACTTTAAAAAAGCTGGAAATCGAAAAGATCATTAGAATGCCCAAATTTCAAGTTCGAGGAAATTGCGGAAAAATATGAAAACGAAAAAAGTGCAGGATAAGAAAACCTGTCTTTTCATCGGTGGTCCTCCCTTGTCAGTTCCATGTCGTTTTTGAATGTTTGGTACTGTAGCTCCCACCTGAGTGAACTGTGCACTGGAGGCAATGATCGATGAGGCTATTTGAGCAACAAGAGCATCAGGAAGTTTGTTGGCCTTAATTTGCTTTGCTGCACGGATTATTTCATACGGTTGTCGAGTTGTGCCTAAAGAAGCGATATTATATTGATGAAATAAGGAAAAATTTCAGAAAATTGACCGAATTTTCAAGAAGGAAATGTTAGGTTTCATTCAAGGAACGCTAAAAACACCATAGACTGTCGAATAACTAAACTTCCAGAACTGTCAAAATATGGTTGGAAGTTCTGCAAAAATTGAGCAGTAAGATTCGACAGCCATATCCAAATACTCAATTATGACAGCGAACATTTTAATTTGATTTTGATTTGTGAAAATCTCAAAGTAAGTTAAACAACTACAGTATTATTTCTCAATGCCACTGAGTAATTTAGTATTCTCTATGGGTACAGTTGAATAAAAAGCATATTTGCGTGGTCTTAATAGTATTAATATTAATGCTGGTAGATGCTAGAACCAATTTTATGCAACTTACGGACCTCTTGCAGGATTTCATAGAAAAACTTACAGAACTGCTTGATGGCATGTCCATTGATAGGTAAGAAAGGACGTCTTGCGGAACGTCGAATATTGAACAACGATTTTGGAGCCAGTCTTCGAGCAATCCGCATTGATAATGTTGTGTTAAGATAGAATGCAACTCGAGTTTTCACTGATGATGAATGCCCTCCTCCGGATACTTTTTGTTGCGCTTGTGAATGACCGGATTGCAGACGCCCGAGCATCTGGCTAGTACCGGAACGTCCATTGATTCCATTCCTTGCCTCAAATACGAGAAAGTTAAATAAGGGGAATTTTAACCTATTTAGACTACGGTCGATTCGAACCATCGGAATTAACAGTCTTCTCGGCTTGCTCAAAAATTCTGTGTCCGAAATCTATTACGCTTTAACAGTTCTGATTCCAACAAGGAAGGAAATAATGCAACAAAAGTTAGGCAATGCCAGAAGAAAAAAATTTGAAAACTCCAACGATCGCAAGATTAAAATTTTATCAAGCAACTGTGTAATTAAACGACCGCTGCAGTTTCACTCAGCATAACGAAATTATCTATTTACCGAAGCAGTGGGACCAGCTACGCCGGAACTTCGATTGATAAAACTAGTTACGGCAGCTGTTGGTGTTAGTTTTTGCGATTGCGTTTGAGGTTGCGATGTTGATTCTTGTGTCGTTGCACCATCAAGATCATAAGATTCTGAAAAGAATGCAATTCAAGATTTCTCGTTCATAATTGTTCAGTAACAAGTTTGGTGACATAATTTTGGAAAAGTATTTTGTGAAAACAATGTGTTCGTGATAGCTCAAAGTTAATAAGTAGTTTTATTTTTTTAAACCAATTTTCTTTTCATTCTGATCAAAACCAACGTTCAGTCTAATGAATATCCCAATTATGATAAGTGAATGAATTTTCCCAACATGATAAGTGAACAAGACTGTAAATGTCTCTCCTGATAGAAGTAGCAACATTGGAAAATTTTAGAATATGATTGAAGTAATGCCTTGAAACGATGAAACAAGCTAAGATACTAAGTCTTGTATGTCACCAAATGATTAAGCTCCTAGTTAAGAAATAGATAAAAGAGAAGGATATCTTTATCTAGTCCACCGCATTTCCTAGCAAGAAGGCATTCCTATAATAAATTTTCCAAATAGACCCTCCACCACCCTTCTCCTCCCCTTCCCTCCTCAAAAAAAAGGTCAAAACTTCAACTTTCAAACCGAAAATAACAAACCATATTCATGGACACGTTTCAGTCCACCATATTTTTTCCACTGTGACCAACAAATGCTACACAGACGAAGTTGTAGATGTGCTGGACCCCATGCATACCACTGAGTTGATTCTTCCACTTGACAACTTTCACATGCTGACGTACCTTTCATCGGTTGTCCGCTAGGATTTGGTGGTCCAACCAAATTTGGATTTGGCTTATTGTAATTCGGTATGTATACCTGTTTTAATTTGCTTTCTTGTTCGACTGCTTTGTTCTTTTTAACTTCAACGTAACGATTTGTTGTTTTCCACATGTAATAGTATTCAACAATATCCCGCATTGATTTCCATGGTAGATAATCGGCACGTATATCACTGAAATCCTTTCCATATTTCTCTACAGCTTCTTCGAAAAGATTGGCTTCTGCTGCTGACCATTCTTCCATCTGGTCACGACATAATATCGGACCACCTAAGCTAACTGTATTGTGCGATGTTGTCTTGTCTGCGTCCAATGGATAGTGTTGTTTACTAGGCGGAGGTACCAGATATTTCACTGCCTGAGAAAAAAAAAGAAATAAAACATTCCGGTAATTACAGGAATTCCCAAAAATGATATAAAATTTGATAATTTGATGCTAGTTGACATGTCTCGTATCATTAAACTCTTTTAATGGAATTAATATATAATATTTGCGTGCAAGATTTTTCTCTATAACTTCTCCACTATTAATTCGTCTATCTAAACCATCTGCAGATGTTCTGGCAAAATTTCTGTTGCATCGTTTGATGTTGCAGCGATCCTATCAGTATTGAAATGGATAAAACTTTTTCCCTCCATAACTATGCACTTTAGTCCTTACATATTACCATTTCATTTCTAATTTCATTCATTACTTATTTCTTCAACTACGACAGCTTGTTAACTTTTAATTCAAAAATTTAACTCAGCTGAAGGATCGTACAAAAATGACACACGACTATGTTAACCATAGGCAATTACATCTCATCATCCAGAGTCGCGCTAAATTGAATGACCGAATCGGTACGACAGTCACCATTCGGGATACAATTATTATTTAAACGCAAGTTTTCTGATATTCCATCACCTAGTCGCGCCACCTTTCTGTCTTTCCATCGAACTTCCAAATTAGTAGTTATTGGTGTATTTAGAACCCAATGAAATTTCAAAATCACACTGGACTGGATAAAATAATGTAAAGTATGTACCTGTCCCATATCATAATTTGCTTGATGTAAAAGAGCCATAGCATGGAAAAGAGTAACATCACGACTTGCAGCTGCCGCAGTCATGTGTAACGAAGGCAATTTCATCGAAGATGACGTGTCCAACGCACGTGAAAATGTTCCAACCGCCCTGGATATTATAAAAATGATAACAGCATCGAAAAAATAAGATAAAGATATACATGTAATTCTGGAAGTCCTCAAGTTAATGTCTACTACATCAATAAATAATACCTTGCAACAATCAAGAATTGATCTATATCGCGATCTGTTAAATTGTGATGCGGATGATAAACCAGGAATTCACGTTTCGAAGTTGTTACGACTGTTTCTTCATCATCTTCATCTTCGGCAATTACCAAGTTTCTGAACTATGATTACAGTAAATACAAAAAAAGTTCGATCTTTAGGATTTTTCGAGAATGTATATCCCGAAATGTACCTTCTTTTCAGTCTTGATATTTTTGAAGATTGCCTGAAACTGAAATGAATCTCGATCATTCAAATATTCGA